ACACCCCGCTATTTTTTTTTTTTTTTTGTGTTTGTTTTTGTTGTTTGGTGAGCCTGGGCTGGATTCAAACCTGCCAGCTCAGGTGTATGTGGCTGGCATCTTAGCTGCTTGAGCCGCAGGTGCTGAGCCTTATGGCTCAGTTTTCTCTGAGTTTTGAGTACAATACTTAGAAGCATGGATTTTGGTCAAACTAAAGTTCCAAGTTTTGGCTAAATGCTTTATGCCTCTATGATATTGAGATATTGAAGCTGTAGTTTTCTTATCTGCATAGAATGGGGATGATGGTGCTGACTGCATGTGGTTGTATTAGGATTAATAATAAAGTGAATGGAGCATCATTACCACATATTAGCTACCAAATATTGTTAATTGATTTTAATATAGTTTTTTGAACTCATATTCTGAAAACTACGACTACATATAAAGAGAAAATTCATCAGCTTTGAAAGGATATATTTTAAGAGAAATTATGATACATCAATTTTGCATTTTGTTTTTAACTGGTTTCAAAGGGAAACTTTAAGCCATGAGTAATAAAAAAATAGTGACTTACCTAATTCACAGTTCTTTCCTTCAAATCCAAGTCGACACCAACATTCATAGGAATTAACATCATCCCTGCAACTGCCACCATTTAAACATGGATTGGACTCACACTGATCTCCATCTTTGAGATAGGTTAAAAACTGAATTAGCATATAAAATGCTTAGAATGCCCAGTCCTCCCCTGCACAGACTTACAGGAATGGGGCAGATATGAGGGTCACAGAAGAACTACTAATATGAAAACCAACTGCCTATACACATGATGTTCGTGTCTTCCTGAGTTTTCTAAAAGCCACCCAAGCAAAGGTTTTTTTTTTGCAGTTTTTGGCCGGGTCTGGGTTTGAACCTGCCACCTCTGGTATATGGGGCTGACACCCTATTCCTTGAGCCACAGTGTTTTATGCCTTTTTCATCTGTCAGGTGGATTGCTATAAGGCCTTAATAGAGTCCTGATAATTTTCTACTCTTTGTCTTTAGTCATGTAGCCTGT